CAAATTCGCGCATGGATGATCCGGATTCTCACCCTTATGTGCTCATTCCCTTCCTTTTTCGGATTTTGGCGCGCAGATCGGGAGACTTCATTAAGGGCGAATGAAATAAGTATATATCACAGGAAAATATGCCTTATCGTAATTTTTCAAGTGATCCTTCTCTACATACGTAGGGTTGTCATTATCTTGCCTCAATTGTATTTCACAATAATAAAAAAAAAAAAAAAAAAAATGCGATTTTTAATAAGTCTGGTCCGACATTTTCATCATCATTACGACGTGCTTTAAGACAATAAATAATAATGATAATGATAATATCAAACTGTTTGACGACTTCTGTGCTACATTGGAAGAGATGTATATAAAACGTATATACCGCTTATGAATATATTTACTTTGTTGAATTTTACCTTAAAGGGAGGAGGGAGCAGTCTCAGCCAGTCTGACTGCCAGGCTTTGCAATTCCTCAGATAAAAACCCCTTTGCATGCGCGCTTTTGCATCATCCCACCGACTGCAAAGTCATGCATCTGTGTCGGATCCACTTGGAGTTCCTACATTTTAAATGGCGGGAGATCAGAGTGCTTTATGAATTTTAAATGATTCCAATTGATTTTTTCTTTTTCTTTTTAAATTTTGATATATATATAATAATAATAATAATAAAAGCAAACTTGCTAAGAGAAATGGTTTAGAGAACTGAGAATATTTTTTAAAAAAGGAAAGGAAAAATATTGGAACAACAGTGCTTGGAGCATCAGCAATTCAGCGTAGCCAGACTCCTAAAAGACTTGCCTTACGTCACAAATCGTTGCTAAATTGTCCTGCAGTTGCAACATGCTGTAATAAAGTATATTTATTGCAACAACTAAAAATGCTACATCACTTCCCTCAACTATACGCCATTAACAAATCTAAAAAAGAGAAAAAAAAATTGAATGAATCATATATTTTTTCACTTCTTTTTCATCTCGTTTTTTTACCCCTCAAAATATCATATCATTTCCATATTCATATTTTTAAAAAATAATTCCCAAAATAACTGTTTCATTTGTTACATATAGATATTTTTACATATATATTGCGATTTTTGAATTATTTTCATTCATTTCACAGGGAGATATTGTCCCTGATTCAAACCAAAATTATATTATTTACACCTTCTGTTTTGTGATTGAATTTATTCATCTTTCATTTTGGAATTTTCCCACATCTTTTCTTCTCTATTCTCAAAAGGATATTTTTTCATGGAGAAAAAGATCTAGCACTTATATACACAAATTCCTTTCGAATTACCTCAGACACTCCCGAGAGGTTATTTTCACCCGAACGGACCGGCCGGTTTCTCTCCCTCGGACGCGCGGAGGTTATTTTCACCCGAATTAATTGCAGCCTCCGACGCTCGAACGGTTACCATAGCAACGCCGAATATTTAAAATGGACACGCACTTTGCAAGACCTTTTTGTCTATTTTCTTTTGTTATGTGTCTCTCTCTCCTTTTTCTGTGGTGTTTTGTCTATTTTTTTTCTCACATTTTCTTTGCTTGCTTCTTCGTTTGTCTCGTTGGATATGGATTTCTTCGTTTCGTGTTTTTCCTTCTCTCTCCTTCTCCGCATTCCTCCATAAGGTTTCTTTAAGTTCCTGTGGTACTCCTTCGTCATCTCTCCTTCCTTTTTCCTTGTTCTGTCTGTCTCTTTCGTCTTCATTTCACTAGAGCACTCAGCATACCCGATCTCCTCATAAATTCAGGCACCAGCATCAATATTTGTTTCAATTTTATCTCGCGATTATTTCTGGGACGAACGTTTTGAGTTTTGAATATTGGTTTTGTCAATTGCTTTTTTTTTGCTAAAACTTTTGGCAAATTACAATATTTGATTTTTTTTTATTTATTTATTTGTTTCCCTCTAATTTTGCGACGATGCGTCTCTCTCTCTTCTTTCAAAGTCAATTTCATTCCCTTTTTCACCACTCTTTCCCCTCTTCTTCATATATCGAAACATTCAAAAATATTATTCTGAGTCAATGTTCATTGCCTTTTTTTTCCAAAACTTTTCGCCAAAATAATTTTCATTTCTTCTCCTTCTCCTTCTTCCTCCTCCTCTTTCTATATTTCAGAATTCGTTCAGGACCAAAGAGAATTCGCATTTTCGCAACAGAGTCTCATTTCTCAAAATTCTCAGTCGTAACAGGAAAGAACACTTTTTTTCTACACTGTAAATATCACTTTAAATGTCTTATTGTCATTTATATGTCCATTCCTTTCACATCACTATCTAGTCAAAAAGAAGTCCGTAATATATATATATATATATATATATATATATATATATATATATATATATATATATATATATATATATATACATATACATATATATATGTTATAACCTAGGCCTCTCCCTGCCACCCCTTTCCCCCTCTCCTCCCCCTCCCCCTTGGCTCAAGCCCTCCGAAGAACAATCACAGGCCCGACAAAGAATCTGCAGTGTTCCGCACAAGTTACAAGAACACGCATCCATAGTGTATAAAAGTATTAAACTGTCCCGTTGTCTTCGGTTATCAAATGGCCATCGTATTTG